AAAAGAACCAATAGATCTATTTTGGAAGAAATTAAGCCAGAGTGCTCCTTGGAGACCAAGATAGCTAAGCTTCGTCTCTCATACTTTGTACATATTGTCAGGAGGGAACAGTTGCTGGACAAAGATGTCATGCTGGGTAAGGTTGAGGGTCAGAGAAAAACAGGAAAATCCCCAACGAGATGGATTGGCCAGGTGGCATCATTGATGGACTCAAGTGTGGCAGCGGTAGTGAGGTTGGCCCAGGATAGGCCATTGTTTCATTCTGCTGTGCATGGAGTCGCTATGAGTCAGTTCTGACTCGATGGAACCTGACAACAACAATGTTGTTTAAAAAAGGTATTTGCAATGAACAAGTCACTGGTTTTTGCAAAATTCTGTCGTGTGATCTCCAGCATCATTTCTTTCACCATGGCCATGTTTTCCAACTAGTGATCCTTCCTCTTTGTTTGCAATCTTTGCATTACAATTGCCAATAATTATTGATATATCTTGATTGCATATTTGATCAATTTCAGGCTGAAGAATTTGGTAGAATTCTTCAATTTCATCATCACTGGCTTTGGTGTTTATGTATAAGATTGAATAGTATTAACTTGACTGGTCATCTTTTTAGGCATATGTATATTATCCTATCACAGACAGTGTTGTACTTCAAGGCAGATCTTGATATGTTCTTTTTGAGGATAAATATAACTCCATTCCTTTTCAATTTCTCATTCCTTGCATAGTAAGCCATCGCCAATTCCAGTATATTTCTGTTCACTAATGCCTAGGATATCAATGTTAATCATTCTTTTTTTTACAACTTCCAATTTTCCTAGATTCATAATTAGTACATTTCATATTCTGATTATTAAGGGGTATTTACAACTCTTTTTCCTCATTTTGAGTTGTGCTCCATCAGCTAATGAAGATCTTGAAAGCTTTACTCCATTTGTGTCATCACGATCCATTCTACTTTGTGGAGGCAGTTCTTCTCCATCATGTTTTGAGTTCCTTCCAACCTGAGGGACTCATCTTCTGTATGCTGTATATGAAGTACTATATATCAAAATATTCTAGTGCTCTTTATCATTCTACAATATTCAGTATTCTGGTGCTATTTAACAATGTTCGACTGCTATTCATAAGATTCTTCAGTGACTAAATTTTCAAAAATAATCGTATCTCCTTCTTGTAGTCTTTCTTAGTCTAGAAGCCTGTCCACTATGGGTGACCCTGCTGATATTTAAAATACTGGTGGCATAGCTTTCAGCATCACAGCAACATGCAAACCACCACAGTACAACAAGCTGACAGACGAGTAGTGATTACTGACTGTTTCCTAAACTTGAATAATAGTGGTATTAACTGGTTTTCCTTGTAAGCATATGGGCGTTATTCTATCACAGATAGCATTGTACTTCAAGGTAGGACTTGAAATGTTCTCTTTGATAAGGAATACTAAGCCTTCTTTTTGAATAGTCGTTCCCGGCATAAGAGACCTTATGATTTTCTGATTCATAATGGTCAATATCAGTCCATTTCATCTTGTTAATACCTAGGATATTGATCATTATGCATCCCATTTCATTTTTGACAACTTCCAGTTTTTCTAGATTCATACTTCATACATTCCATATTCCAATTACTAGTGGATGTTTGCAGCTGTTTCTCCTCATTTTGAGTTGTGCCCCATTAGCAAATGAAGACTCCCAAAAGCTTTTCTATATTCACATCATCACGGTCAACTATATTTTAAGGAGGTAGCTCTTTCCCAGAGGTATGTTGAGTCCCTCAAACCTGAGAGGCACATCTTCTGGCATTGTATCTGACAATATCCTGATACTATTCATGTTTTCATTTTCCAACACTATATATGATAATATTATGATGCTTTTTATGTTGTCATCTTTGACACTGTATCTGACAATATTCCACTGCCATTCACAAGGTTTTCAGTTGCTAAATATTTCAAAGTAGTTTTCCTCTCCTTCTTCCTAGACTTCTTAGTCTAGAAGCGCAGCTGAAACCTGAACCCTATTGGTGACCCTACTGGTATTTAAAATACTGGTGCCATAGCTTCCAGCATCACAGCAGCATGCAAGTCACCACAGTACAACAAACTGACAGACAAGTGATAAATACACCCAGAATTTGGTCATTGATAATGAGAAGTGAAAGCATAACAAAAGGTGTTTCATGTTAAATTAACTTTTAGCCAATCATCGATGAAAACACTGACAAATAAAAGATGAAGGGAGGTAAAGATGATTAAGATAAAGAGAACTGTATGATTTCAAGGTACAGTTGATTCGGCATATGCATTCCTAAAAACAACTGAGTTGTACAAAAGCTCATAATAAAAACCATAGGAATTATTGGGGAATGTTTTAGAGGCACAGAACTTATAAAATTTTTTAAGTGGCTTGTTAAAAATAAAAGTTAGGAGCATAATATAAAGTGAAAAATTTAAAACCACAAGCACAATGTTTTATACTTGGCAAATAGTTAAGAAAACGGAAATTCTTTTTTTTTTTTTTAATAGCACCCTACTTTTAAAAAATAGCTGAAGTTTCTTTGTGACAGTGGTGGTTGAAAGGATTACAGTTTGTGAATTCCTGTGAAATGATAGAAGGAGGGTTATCTAAAGTTTTCAAGGGTCGCAATGCTAGATTTGAATGAGTTTGGCTCATCACACACACAGCATACTGAGATCATTGGTAGATGCTTCAAATGAATATGTGTGCGCGTTTGAGTACTGGTAGTTTCTAACTTACCACGGGGTTATAGTCCCAAGACTAATATGGCCTTTTATTACCAATATATTTAGAAATATGATTTTAAATTGGTTTTGGAGGTTAGAAACATCATATATAAATATCAACAAATTGTATATTGCAACATCATATATAGTACATAAGATGAGATTTTTTTTTTTTAAAGGTCATCAATGTGGTTTGTAAAACTTAAACATGACATCAGTTATAAGCTGGGGATTATCTATGTAGTTATTCTATGTCCAAGTCCTACATGGCATCAAGTAAATGATTAAGCACTTTGCTACACCCCAAGATCACAGTCACTGAAAACCCTGTGGATTACAGTCCTACTCAGAGTCATATAAGGGCACTATGAATCACCATAAACTCAAAGACAACTAGTTTGAGGGTGCTTTTTTTGTTCTGATGCTATGTTACTTAGTTCAACTGGTTGTAGCTCTTGGCATTCCTCTAATTTTCTCACATATAAGAAAATGCAAATTTCAAAGTTCACGGCATGCTCAACTGAACACCCTGATATATCAGTCATATTAGAACAAATCTGTATTTTCAACACGTGTTGTTGAATTAACTGTACTTCTCTTTCCAGAGTCATCTGCCCTCTTACTTTTCATTTTACAGATTTTCATTGCTTTTTGTCCCCAAGGGCCTATATTTTTTTCCTTACCAAAGTCTAAACTGAGGGGGAAGTCTGGAAACCCACAGGCTTGTAATCTTTATCCTACCATGGATAAGAGTCCTGGTGTGGTGCTGTGGGTTAATGCATCAGACTGCAAAGCCGTTTGAACTGCAAGGTCAGTGGTTCAAGCTCACCAGCTGCTCCTTGGAATCCCTATACAGGGTCACTATGGGTTTTAATCTATTCAACAGCACTTAACAACAACAACAACCATGGATAGGTTATTTATAAGTCACTTGGGGAAAAGAATCTGCCTGTGTTTAAAATCTCATTTAATAAATGGAAGGAAGTGAGAAGGAGCCCCTGACTAGACTGTGTGTCCTGCTCTATGTTGTCCTTCACACTATTGGATATATTCCTTTCTGCTGATAACTGAATATCTGCTTTTGTCTTTAATGTTTCAGATCCTGGGCATGTCCTTGATGAATAAGGTAGGAGTAAGGATAAGTAAAATGATAGATACAGATGATGTATATAAAGACGTAGATAGATTATCATGTCGTGTGTGTGTGTGTGAGAGAGAGAGAGAGAGAGAGAGAGATACTTACATAAATCATGCTTCCATCAATTGCAGTAAGCTTAGCATGTTATCTTATTCCAGAGAAAAAGATCCTAGCATTTACTGATTAGTCCAGTTCTGAAGCCAAGATTTACGAACCTCATCTAGGACAAAACAAAGAGCTTTATTTTAGTTCCAGGAATTTAAAAAACAGACTATAGTGATTTTCAAACTCTAGGTTGTGACTTAATAAAATCTGTTTAATAGATAACAACCAGCAAATTATTTTACAATGAAATTAATTAAAAGAGAAATTATAAGACCATATCACATGTAGTATTGGTAACTGTTTTTTAAAGTTTTATGTCAACTGTATATTATATAAAGGAGCTTTGGTAGTGTAATGGTTACGAATTGGGCTGTGAGCCTCAAGGTCAGCAGTTCGAAACTACCAGCCATTCCACAAGAGAAAGATGAGGCTTTCTGCTCCCATAAAGATTTACAGCCTCAGAAACCCTGTACAGGTTCTCTATGAGTCAGAACCGACTCCACGGCACATAACCACCAGCACCATATCTTATATAATGTGTGTATGTAAGTACTGGGTGGAATTAGAAACTGTATTACATATTGTGTGTTATGATCAAAAGAGTTTGAAAGTCATTATTCTAGAGACACCTCCATCCAAAGTGAGTGATAAGGGCAGAGGTTGACCTTTGTTTTTCAACTCCCCTACAACTTTGATGCTACACTAGAGACAGAGATGCAAAAGGGAACCAAGATTCCTGCTCCTGTCTGGGCACGTATTTCCGCTCATGTTGAATATTTATAGACATGATGTGGTACCTAAAACCTTGGCTTGCACCAAGAATCATTTTGCTTTAGGACATGGATCTGCAAATGAGTTTCACTAGAAGCATCACAGAGATTGGCATTGCTGTCCATGATGCCCAGGAGCGGGGTTTCCAGTTTTCCTACAAGGAAATGCTACTTGGCTACATGCTGGTGAGTGGTAAGAAAAGTCATCGGGAAGGGCAGTGTCCATTACCAACAGTTTGCTTTCTGAAACTCAGGTAAAACCCACTAGCCCCAAACAACACAAATCTTTGCCATATGTCTGACCCAAGACACCCCAAGGGTCCAATGAGGTAGCAGAAGTATTTGGGGAAATTGAAAGCCTCCTGTTCTTTCTGAATTATTTCATCTCCTTGTTTCTGTTGCAGGATTTCATCCGGGATGAGCCCTTAGATTCATTAGCTACCCCTATTAGGTGGAAAGCCTTAATCGCCATCAGATACCTCAGGTAGAGAATTTCTTGTTTTCATTATTGAAAAGATATTTCCCATCCCTGCTTTTTCTCCTGGTCACTGACTTATTAACCAGTGCAAACCCCAGTGTGCCCTCCCCAAAACAGACATGATTCTTCAATGGACATGAAATAGAGGGTTTTTTTTCTCCTTTTAAACATTTAGGAGATGCATGAGAGACTGGTCATTCTCTAACTGACAGTGAATAACGAGCTACTCAGAGGAGTCTGATTAATGATATATGAAGAAAGAAATTTCTGTGAAAAGAGGCATTTCTCTTTCTAGATGTTGGCCTATAAGCAAATTTTAATGTTCCAGTTCAAAACATATGAGAGCTATAATCATATTCCAATTGGTTAGTGTCAGCAACCAGAAGAAAATACTTTTAAGTGAACTTTTAAAATAGCATCACATGAAAAATGAAACATCTATAAAAGATAGAAAGGAATGAGTTTACTATTAAAATTTGCAAAGAACAGTGAGGAATAAAGTATGACCGTACCTTGAAGGCATTTTAGCCTACTGGGGAAAATAGATACAGAGTACACTCATAATTTCTCTAAAATGTGGTAAGAGACAAAATAAGGCAAGTTGCAGGTTTCCTTTTTAGCAAAGATGAGATTGAGGAAAATTCAAGAAAGTAAATCTCAATGCTATAATAACCAGGCTATAAAACAGCCCTATCATCTAGACAGATAATGCAAGTCACAGATATCATTTGACATTTACTAGTAGCCACAAGTAAAAATAAAACAGATTAATTTTAACAATATATTTCAGTTAATGATAAATTTAGTATATTATTATTTCAGCATATATTCAATCTAAAAAGTTAATTAGATCATTTACATTGCTTTTTATACTAAGTTCTCCAAATCCACTGTATATTTTGTACAACAAGACATCTTAACTCATACAAGCCACAAGTCAGGTGTTCAACATTCCCAGACGGCCAGTGGTTACCAGCACTTAGACAGGGCAGCTCTAGAAGTTG